CTTCGATGTTCCTGAAGAAGCGACCGACAGCCAAGCTTTGCCTTCCCGCCCCCACAAACTATGTGCTCTGGCCCAAACAAACGGCGATGTCGTGGCAAAGTTCGGGTGGGTAGGGCTGGGCCCTGTGAGTCCACCAAACGTTATTGGCATCACGGCCTGACAAGATGATGTGACGTTTGTGTGTTGCACTGCATCGCCCTTTAATGGGGCAGCAAGTTCGCAAGATGGTGGCTAATCTAGGAAAACCATGGGTCAAAAATCCGGTGTTTTTTCGCCAGGGCACGTGATACTGGCAATAATCGACAAAAACCAACTCTGCAGTCTTCATCAAGATGCCAAAATCAGGTGTCAGCCAACATCTAGAACTTCCTGGATTCTCGATAACCCAAGGGATTGAAATGGTTGAGCATAACTGAGCCATCATTGTTGTCCACAAAAGTAACTTGTTACCAAGGTGCAGTTTTTGACGGTCAGAAAAACTCAAGCCAGATCTCCCCCAGATTTGGCAGTTGTCGTCCCGAAGCGGAGGGGGTCCTCCATCAAAGCGTCTAGCTCGACTCCAAGATTGACAAGGCATACCAAACCAAACCAGGGCAACTTTGCGGCCCCTCAAGAAGCGAAGCAAATGACACAAAACTTCCTTGTCAAGAACATTGCATCGTGAATTGTACTCTATATCCCAAGCGGCACAGCGGGAACCTTGTTGCACCATAGCCTTGGAAAGGTGCGCTGACCCACTGAAGATCTCTAAAAACCAGAGCTTGCGGTCTTTCGCTTTCTCCGGCAGAAAAATCTTTGGGCCCATTGCTCCACCTGCTGGGGTGCCTGAATAGCAACTCGCTGTACTTTCTTTGGAAGCTTCTGGAACTCCTGGTTGAGTCGCGCGCTCGCTTCGTAGCGCCGCACTGAACTGTCCGACAACCACCTGCCTCTCTTCTTGACATCCAAAAGGCTGCGATGTTTCACCATCCGATCGTAGGAGGGACCACTGTGTCTCAGTTGATATAGCACGGAATGCGTCCTGCAGAGGCCCAAGTCGACTAGTGCGCCCTGCCAGGCATCTCGCAGTCCGCGATAGTCCACCCGAAAGATCATCTCCCCCCGATGGAGGCTTAGATGATGACGCAGCAGGAGCCCCATCCAGGGGGTCGTCTTCGAATCGAGGAGGATGGTCTCGTCGGATAGTCCGACTTTTGAACTTTCCTGTCGGTCTGATGGATGCAGGTTGAGGCTGAAGAAGGGGTGTTGCGCTGTCGGCTCCACCAAGTCTTCTCTTCGCAAGCTCAAGGCCTCCCCTGGTCTCAGGTAGGCATCGAACATGAGGAGGACTAGCAAGGCTTGATCGATCAACTCCCTCTGAACCAGCTTCATGACTATGGCTGCAATCAGCTCCCATGGCATGGGAGGACGAGTTGCACCCGGGTCCAGGCGGCGCCATCCTTGCAAGCATCGCCTCGAGCGGGGGAGGCTGTCCTTGCCTGTGCAGCCCGGCTCGCTGTCGATGAGGGCCGCGAGGTGCTTTGTTGCATCGCCAATGTCGTTCCCTTCCTCGAAGAGACTGTTCAGAAAGAAGCAAAAACTCTCGTCCAACTTCTTCTGCCCACGAAGGGAAAGCTTGTGTTCCTTCGCAAACTTTCGAAAAATCTGCATCCGATGCTTGTAGTCCACGGCCACCTCCATGGAGATTGCACTTTGTTCCAGGAATGTCTGACCTTTGAATCGCTGGATCAATTGGTTCTCTCTCATGTAGGTGGTTCTTTTCTCTGCTCTTCCCTCTCTGGTGCTGCTTTGGAGACATTGTCGAACTGCTTGTCTGCTGTTTGCTGCCTGCTTCTTTTTTTGGAGGAGGTGCTTTCGCTGCCGTGAGCTTTCCTGGAACGTTCCCAACGGCGAGAGCCCTCATCTGCCACGTTAATCTCACTTGGAATCCAGCGCAAGTTCAGGCTGGAGGAGGTTGCAAGCAGTAAACATGCTACCCTTCGACATACCCTCAACAGCGGAGGTGACGGACTACGGCCCTTCTCTAAAGCCAGAACGGTACCAAGATTATCACACAAGTGTACATGCCTCTGGCGAAAACAGGCTAAAGACCGAAACTTATGCCTCAATGTTGCAACAACTGCTCGACCCTCAAGAACTGTTATGGCCTCTGGGTGTTGCATGTACTGTGCAAAACGCAACTGCCAATCTTCCTTCTTTAAAATCAATGGATCTACTTCTGGAAAATCTACAACAAGTTCCAAAGGGTCTTCATGTGCCGCTCCAATGGGTTTTACGGACTCGGGGTCAGTGAATGGATCCAGTCGGCCCAACGCTCTCTGTCGAGGTCTATCTGCTGGGTTCCTTCCTTTGAATCGCCAACCCTCCTTGAAGCTTCCAAGTGCCAAAACAGTTGAAAGAGATTCTTGCTTTGAGCAAACTGCAATGCCTGAAAGTGAAGCGTCTGAACTAGTAAGCTGGGTTGAAGGAACCCGTCTAAGGTCCGCCGTGCTCAGACTGAGAAGCTCCCCAATCCATCGAGCCTCAACCGCAGCTACCGCCCAGAGGCGACGTCTTGACTGTCCAGCATATTGCACAAAATCGTACAACCGTCTTGGAATGCTTAACAACTCTCTCCTCAACAACATGAAATGCACTGCATGCCCCAACAATTTCTGGATTGCAAGCCCTGTGACCCTTGGTCTCCGGCTCAACCACTTGAAGGCCAGCTGCACTGTATGTAGTCGGTCTGCAACCGGCCTGACCGTGCCAGCCACCCCATCAATGCAATAACCCAAAGATTGAGCCACTGTGCAAGCATCCATCTCCTCATGAACTAGAAGCCCAACTTCCCTAAGTCTCTTCACTGCCCCATCCTTTGCCATCTGAACTCGCCTCTGGTCCACTCCAGCCACATTCAAATTGTCCGCGTAGGGCAAAAGCAGTACCTGGCCGTCAGAGAGGTCGGGAGCGGGCTTGCCATCCACCAGAACACGGTCCTGTGAAATGCCTGCTCCTATCTGTGACTGCACCTGATGAACCCTCTGTGAAAGCCACATCGCCCATGACCATCCCATGGGCACAACTCGAAGTCGTGGATGCGCCCAGCCATCATAGACGAGGGAGCCACCATGTTCGGCGCTCACCCCCCCAGTGCCTCAACAACGAGGCTGGGATAGGCGGCATGCAAAAAAGGCTCCGGAGACTCTCAGGTAGTTGTAGAGAGTAAAAATAGTCCTTGATGTCTGACTGTGCCACAAAAAGCTCTCTGCCCTCCGGAATGGAC